TTTTTTTTTTTGTGAGGAGGACTAGCCCTGAGCTAACATCCGATGCCAATCCTCCCCTTTTTTCTTGAGGAAGAGTGGCCCTGAGCTAACATCCGTACCCATCTTCCTCTACTTTATATGGGACGCCGCCACAGCCTGGTTTACCAAGCGATGCGTCGGTGCTTGCCAGGGATCCAAACCTGCAAACCCCGTGCTGCCGAAGTGGAGCGCGCACACTTAACCGCTTGCGCCATTGGGCCAGCCCCATTGAACAGCTTGTAAAGGGAACAAAAGAAAAGAAAAGAAAAAAACAAAAAAAGACCAAAGAGTATATGATTGATTTATGGGTAGCCATCTAGTTTCACTATGTCAGAAAAAATTCAGCTTCAAAGAGCACCTTTGCCGCTGAACTATTTGTGTAATAGTACCTTCCAAAGATTATCTTAATGGTTTCTTGCTTATGAATATACCAAAACCTCACAAAAACAAAAGAGCACGCACAGTCTCAGTGACTGCCCAACCTTTTCTAAACTTTTATCTCTGCAAGGAAGTGCAAAGTAGTTTTGGTCCTAAACAATTTGAGTTTGGTGAACTACTTTTGCCCAAAAGCAAAAGCAGTTTTTTATATCTACAAAGGGCTATATTGTACATTTGTTTACTTCCTAGTAGGAGTCCTTTGTTCTCAGGCAGTGTGTGTCATTTTGGCACATTAGAATCCCCCAAAATCAGGACTTTCCTCCCAGGATTTGGTACATATTCTTTGAAGTAATTTTAATATTCATAATCTAAAAAGAAGATCAGTAGTCAACATACTTATTAAAACTTCTTTTCCTCCATTCCTTTAAGAAATGAGACAGGAATATAAAGGAAAGTTGACTTTTGAGAGTTTAGTCATTAGAACAGTTGATTGATTATGAGCTCAAGTAAATTAATTGGATAAAAGGCAAAAGAGAGCCTCATGTCTCTATCTCTGTATATCTATCACTGGGTAAATCCGAAGATTGTCATAAAAAAATGTGTTGATTCTTATTGAGTCATCTTAAATTCTCTTTTCTGAGGTCATACAGTGAGGGGTCAGCAGTGGTTTAAATTTATAACAAACTATTTCTAAGCATATTTACAAATGTGTTTAAAATATTAAAATAAACAAAATATTTAAATGTTAAGATGTATAAAAAAAGATGTATGTTTTATACATACCTACCATTTATATACCCAACATACCCAACTCATTTGGGTTGGGTATACCCAACCCAACATACCGAACTTAACACACCCAAATCATTTACATATTCAGTTTTAATAATTTTTATTTGAACTTAAAAAGGAAAACAAGAAAATAGCATTAATTTCCCCTCAGATATAGCCTCCATTCAATTGCAGGCTTTTTGGAATAGGAAGTAAGTTTTTCTAATTTAAGACAAAACTGTCCCAGCAATTGCCACAGTGTTTCCTTGACTAGTGATCTGCAGATCAGTGGGCTTATACGTATGAACCAATAGCTAATCAGTAAGCACAAATAAATAAAAAGATCTTACCAGATTTAGGGTAGGTGGAGACCAGAAGGTCATCTGGTTGGGTCTCAAATGACTCAACCTGGGACCACTTCTCAGCAATGCTCCAGAAGAGAAATACATCCTGAACATCCACTAACTCCCTCCTGAAGACATCCAGCTTGTTGTCTATTTTTTGACAAACTAGATTTTAAACAAAGCAGAGCATATTAAAAAAAAAGTTTGTTTTAATATTATCAATCAAATTTTAAAATAAGTTAATATTTTATTAAATTAATATATTAATTTTCCATTACTCTAGGTCCGGCGGTATCAGATCACAGTACTGTGCATTACAAATCAGTGGAAAAAGAGAAGTTATAAGAACTAACAAGGTCTTGCACAATTTATTCCATATACGCTGTTTATATGTTATATAGCATCAATACTTGACATTTGTGTACCGATTTATACAGCATTTCCTCAGGCAAAGATTTTTGAGATATGTAATAGAGTTACTGAGCTTTGGAGTCAGGAGAAAATGGCTTAAACACAGCACTGCCAATTTACTGCAGTGGAAATTTGAACAAGCCCCATAATTAACAGTGGACCTTCTTAACTGCAAAATCAGTAATGGTCTAAATTAGTACTTCCCTCCCTTAAATTACACAGTAGACTGGTAAATTACTCTTTCTAAATGATTTATAACAGGCCCAGGAATGAAGGTATGTGTGGCGGGAGGGTCAAGAAGAAGAACTAAAGGGTAAAAGAAACAAGCCTGAGTAAATGTAACATTGGAGATACATTGCTCTGGCGAACTTTTTAATACTAGTGACATTATTATGTCATTTTATTCTGAGCAAGGCTGTAATGAAGATACTCTTAATTCCTCTTTAGGTCATCATATAAAAGAAGTAGAAGAGCTTAAAATATATCCCAAGTCCTACCCCCAACAACAAAACATGTTGTTGCTTTCCCAATTTAGCACGAGCTGAGTGATTATTTTTCTTTCTTTTAAGTTCTAGAAAAACAGAGACTATGTAACAAATTCAGGTTTATAAGGCTTACTGAGGCCCTCTATCAGCAGCTGAACTTCTCTTCAAAAATTAAAATCAGAAGTCTCTGGAGTCAAATGGATATAGTCTAACCTGTACCTTCTCTGAAGTGCAATTTATCTTCTTTTTCTTTTTTCAAGTCCTCCCAACTTGACCCCTACTCTACCTAATCCAAATACTTTTCATTTTAAAAGGTTATGAAGTTGTAGGATGCAAAATCAAAATACAAAATCTGTTGTTTTTCTATACACTAAAAAACTATCAGAAAGAAAAATTAAGAAAACAATCCCACTTACAATTGCATCAAAAAGAATAAAATACCTAGGAGTAAATTTAACCAAGGAGGCAAAAGACCTGTACTCTGAAAGCTATAGGACATTAATGAAAGACATTGAAGAGGACACAAATAAATGTAAAGATATTCCATGCTTACAGATTAGAAAAATTAATATTAAAATACCCATACTACCCAAAGTAATGTACAGATTCAGTGCAATCCCTATCAAAATTCCACTTGCATTTTTCACAGAAATAGAACAAAAAATCCTAAAACTTGAATGGAAACACAAAAGACCTCAAAAAGCTAAAGCAATCTTGAGAAGGAAGAACAAAGCTGAAGGCATCATGCTCCCTAATTCCAAACTATGTTACAAAGCTATAGTAATAAATATAGTATGGTATTGGCATAGAAACAGACTCGTAGATCAATGAAACAGAATAGAACACCCAGAAATGAAACCAAGGCATGTATGGCCAATAAATCTATGACAAAGGAGCCAAGAATATACAACAGGGAAAGGACAGTCTCTTTAATAAATGGTATTGGGAAAACTGGACAGCCATATGCAAAGGAATGAAACTGGACCACTATCTTACACCATACACAAAAATAAACTAAAATGAGTTAAATATTTGAATTAAGATCTGAAGCCATGAAGTTCCTAGAAGAAAACATAGGCAGTAAGCTCCTTGACTTCAGTCTTGGTGATGATTCTTTCGATTTGACACCGAAAGCAAAGGCAGCAAAAATAAAAATAAACAACTGGGACTACATCAAATTAAAATGCTTCTGCACAGCAAAGGAAACCATCAACAAAATGAAAAGGCAACCTAGTGAATAGGATAAATATTTGCAAATCATATATCCGATATGGGGTTAATATCCAAAACATAAATAGAACTCATGCAACTCAATAGCAAAGAAAAAAATCTTATTTAAAAATGGGTAGAGGATCCGAATAGACATTTTTCCAAAGACTACATACACTTGGCCAACAGGTACGTGAAAAGGTGCTTAACATCAGCAATCATCACAGCAATGCAAATCAAAACCACAATGACATAACTACCTCACACCTATTAGAATGGCTATCAACAAAAAGATAAGAAATAAGTGTGGGTAAGGATGTAGAGAAAAGAGAATCCTTGTGCACTGTTCGTGGGAATGTAAATTGATGCAATGCTATACAAAAGAATATGGAGGTTCCTCAGAAAATTAAAAACAGAACTACCATATGAACCAGCAATTCTACAGCTAGATATTTATCTGAAGAAAATTAAAACATTAATTTGAAAAGATGTATGCACCCCTACATTAATTGCAGCATTATTTATGATATCCAAGACATGGAAACAACCTAAGTGTACATTGATGGGTGAATGGACAAAGAAGATGTGAGATATATATATACACATATATATCCAAATATATATAATGGAATATTATTCAACCATAAAAAAGAATGAAATCTTGTCTTTTGCAATGACATGGATGAACTCTGAGGGCATTGTGCTAAGAGAAATAAGTCAGACAGAGAAAGACAAATACCATATGATCTCACTTACTTATGGAATCTAAAAGAAAAAAACAAACCACGAAAAATGAGATACAGAGAACAGATTGATTGTTGCCAGGGGCAGGGTGTGGGGGGATGGGTAAAATGGGTGAAGGGAGTCAAAGGTACAAATTTTCAGTTATAAGATAAATAAGTAATTGGAATGTAATGTACAGCATGGTGACTATAGTTAATAATACTGTGTTGCATAATTGAAAGTTAGTGAGAGAAAAATCTTGAAAGTTCTCATTACAAGAAATAAAACTGTAATTATGTATGGTGATGGATGTTAACTAGATTTATTGTGATGATCGTTTTGTAATATATACAAATATCAAATCATTATGTTGTATATCTGAAGTTAATATAATGTTATAATGTTATATGTCTGTTATACCTCAATAAAAAAAGAAAACAATACTAATTCCTCAAATTAAATGCATTTGCACTTGTTTGCAAAAGGTATGGTTCGAACAATGTATTTGACAATTACTTTCTGATTAAAATCCAATTCATTTTACAATACAAAAATTTCATAAAAGATTTGGAACTTTAGCCTAAGTAACTCAGCTTTGTAACACAGAAAGTCGATAAATTTATACGATAGCCTTCAGATACTTTCATGTTCCCCTAACCTTTTTATCCTCTCCCCCTTTCCAAAGTAAGATTTTGGGAGGAGTAGCCATATAGAGAAAAAAAAAATTTAATACTTGTTAAATTTAATTCATGATCTGATTGCTTTCCCCATAGATTAACTTTTCAAAGTAGCTAATCTTTGAGCAACTACCTATATTTCTCATATCTTGTTCACTGCCTTTCTTTTTTTTTTGTATTTCTATTAAACTTCATCTCAGCTTTCCAATTGCTTTACCATGTTTCTTCCCAGTTACCCATAGCTTGTTCCTTCCACAAGAAATAGTGGGCAGGCTGATACTAAAACTCAGGCTTCTTTATTACAAATCAAGTTCTTTAATTATTTTTTGTTTTTCTCTAATACCTTAAAAACTATCAAAATGAGAAATGGTTTAGGGTATTATTGCTGCAGAGTATGTAATCAGCACTTCTGAAATCAATACGTAAAAGCCTAGTAAGATTTTTTTTATCCTTTTTTCCTTTTATTTCCAATTTTTATTATACAAATTTTTCATGTATACAGAAAAGTGGTAGATTAGTATAAGGGACACCCACATATCCATCACCTAGATTTAGCAGTTGTTAACAATTTGCTACGTATCTGCTTCATCTATTTTTTTTTATTGTTGAAATATTTTCAAGTTACAGACATCATGACATTTCACTCCTAAATACTTAAGTTTGTATCCCTAAAAATCTGAACACATTTTCCTACATAATCACAATACCATTATTATGCCTAGTAGAATAATCATAATTTGTTTTATTCCAGTAACATTAGTTTATAACATTGTATAAATTTCAGGTGTACATCATTATACTTCTATTTCTGCATAGATTACATCACGTTTACCACCCAAATACTAATTACAATCCATCTCCACACACATATGCCTAATCATCCCTTTCATCCAGTGAGATTTTGACCATCCCTTCTCAACCCTGCCCCGTCCCTGCCCCATCAAAACTGACCTGTTTTTCAATTCATCCTAGGAGTTTCAGGCTCTTTGTACTTTGTAACATGACCACTTACATTACATGTACTTATGCTGATGGAGGATTTCTAGAAGAGATTATGTAATCTTCCTGGGAAAAAGTTTTGAGAAATTCTTTCAATATATATTCAGACCATTATTGTTTACCAGATTCTCACTATCCTTGCCTCACTTAATATTAACAGATCTAGTCTCAACCTTGCAGCTTTTGCAAAGGTTAGCCTTTCTCGCAGGTGAAATAGTAACAGCCTTCCCAGCCATCCATGTTTTCCACTGTGTCAAGTACATCAGAGAGCAAAAGGCAAAATGTATAGCAAGTCTTTGGCTAGCTACTAGGTTTTCTTGTTCATTTGTTTTCTAGAACCAGGTGATGTTGTTGTTGTCCTTGTTATCTGTTTTGTTGTGTTTTTTTTTTCACTACATTCATGTGTACTGACATAAAGGACAATGTTGTGAAAGCAAAACAAACTAATTAATTCAAAAATATTCTTTGAATGCTACTATTTAATATCTGGCAGATACTGTGCCCTGGAGTATATAATAAGGGAAAAAACTTGCGGCTATCTTCATGGTGCTTAGAAGTAACTGGGACAAAGATAGATACTGATCAAACAATACCAATAAATTAAAATTTTCGGTGGTGGTAAGTGGTATGAAGCAGAGGTATAGCCATAAATAGAGGGAAA